TGAGCAGGGCTGCCAACGCAAGTACCAGACCTTGAGTCAGCAGGGGCCCCAGACTCTAACTTACTTTCTTTAAAAAAATAAAATAATAAAGCTAAATCAGACATTTTTGAAGAAAGTTAGAGAACAAACACAGAAGCAACGCTGAGGCTGCAGCACTTGGCAGGCAGTTAAGGAGCTTAATCAGTTAATCACTATTGCTAAAGGATTAGCTTCCGGCAGCGGTTCTCAACCTGTGGGTCCCCAGATGTTGTTGGACTACAACTCCCATCATCCCTGAACTCTGGCCTTGCTAGCTAGGGGTGATGGGAGTTGTAGTTCAACAACATCTGGGGACCCACAGATTGAGAAAGGCTGGTTAGAGGAAGAAATGCTGACCATCCTCATCTGGGACTTGGGAAGGGGCCCTCTGAGAGCAGCAGAACTAGCAGGAGTGGTTCATTACTGCTAGCCTGACGTTGGACAGAGGTGGATACTAGGCTATGTTTGTTTAAGCACTTTCCTCCTTGTCCAAATTATTTCATGTACTCCCCAAGTGTGCTGCCTTTACAGAATAGTGGCTGGCTTTGGCATGTTTTACTCAAGAGTAATTCCCTCAAAATAAATGAGGCTTCCTTCCTACTTAGGAAAAAAAACCCTTGCTTTTCCATGTCCCCCACCCAGTCACCAGCAGTCTGCTTGTATCATTGAGCTGGTTATTTTTTAATATGTCATAACCGCACCTGTTTGTTAAATTTATGTCTGAATCTGTAATTCTGTTGAATAGTTGTAGTCGTGAGACAGCAGAAACACAAGGCTACTTTGCTATAATGCAAGCACAGAAAGGCAGGCTATATAAATCCATCCATCGCCTCCTCCTTCTTGTAAACAATGAAGCTCCATCTCCCAGCTTTTGAGTCTTTAGCTGGATCAGGAACCTGAGCCCTCCAGGCGCTGTTGGACTTCATTTCCCATCAGCCCCCACCAGCATGGCCAATGATCTCAAACAGGAGCTGTACTCCGACTATTGGAGGGCCACAGGTTACCCACTCTTGCCTTAGCTAATCCCTGCCCATACTTCTCCAAGAATATATATCTGTAATCAGGATGCCTAGATGCCAATCTACTGAAGAATGAGCACATTCCACCAGCTGTGAAAAAACCTAACCACCTTAGAACAAAACATTCACACCCTTTATTTTCTGCAACCAATTTAAATGGGTGGTTATGCCCTCTCTACTGTTACCAGTGTAATAAATGATTCCCCCACCTTTTTTTCCTGCAGTCACAACATATTCCTCATCACATTTGTACTGTAATTTGTTTAATCTCTCATTATAATGGGGAGGCCAGGAGAAAGACCGTTCAAGTAAATGGGTGAACATTTATTGGAGAGATTGTGTTAAAGACAATTACATTGATTATGGGGGAGAGAGGGAAAGGGAGGAGGAAACTAATGGAACAAACACCTCTTCCCTGTCATAGTCCATAGTCAGCACATTCAAAACCACCACTATAATCAGTGTAATAAAATATCACCTTCATTAGAAGTCAATGTTTAAAAACTGTGGAACTAAGATTGTGCTATGCAATCTTCCACCATCTTTTCCTTCCCCAGTTGATGCACCGCATATACACACTCCTATTCCACAGGAATTACTGTAAACAGGAAGGGACAGTGCAGACAGACAAGTCACAAGTGTCAGAAAGACTGGCAAGCCATTTTCTGCTCCAATAAATGTCCCAAATGCACCAATGGGTAGGGAAAAGTCCTTTATCTCAGCACATAGCTTCCTGTCAAAATCAGATGAGGAGAAACAGAGACAGATTGAGGGAATGGATCTGGCTTTGACAAATAGGAACCAGTGTGGTTACAGTACTGTCTGCCCTTTCTCTCAATATATCTGCAATAGATTGGTAAATAGTTAAGTTGCTGGCTAAAGTGTTTTGCATTGATTGGTTGTCTTTTTTCAGAAGTGTTTTTTTATTATTTTGAGGAATTGTAAAAAAAGGGGGGGAGTGGGCTGTTGGAAATCACTCTATGAATCTTTATATACATTCATCACAGCTAGTTCAAGACTTTTTGCTGCCTGAGTTGTAGGACAAAGTTTTTATTTAAAGCAGTGTTTCTCAAAACTTGGGTCTCAGCTGCTTTTGAACTACAGTTCCCTTCATCCCTGACCACTGGTCCTGCTAGCTAGGGATGATGGGAGATATAGTCCAAAACAGCCAGAGACCCAAGTTTTAGAAACCCTGATTTAAAGCATTTTTCTCCTGCTCTTCAGCTATAAAGACTCCCATCACAGCTTACATAGAATCAATTATAATACATGTAAGACAGTCCCACTCCAAGACACGTTTATAGTCTGAAAAGACTCAACTCAAAAGAACAAAGTGATGAGGAGGAAAGGGAGGGAAAAGCTTAGTCACACACCTGTTCTTAGAGTTGAATAGCTGATCTTTCATCAGAGGAGATGTAATGGCCCCTGCTTCCCCATCTCTCCCACTGCTGCAGCCTCATGGGACGGGATGTGTCTGCGTGATCTTTTAGAACTACTGTGGCTCCTTTGGCATGAGCAGAATAAATACACTTAGGATCGTCTTCCAAAGTTGCCACTGCTGTATTTTGTGAGCATTCACAGGAACTTCCAGGTTTTTCCCCTCTCCCCCAACATCAAATACAAAAACTTGCAGTCACACTGAGAAAGATCTCTTCCCCTCCCATGTTAATACTATCAGCTTCATTTATATCAGCTATGGAATGACAAATAAACACCTTAACCAGTGCACCCTGAATACAGATGGCATCTCCCCATCCACACTCCAAGGGCAGAAATGTTTGTTTTCAAATGCATCTCAGTATGTATGAAAGCAAGTTTTTAAAAAATGTTAAAGCTGCTACAGCTTTTTAATTAATGGCTTCAAGTTTCTAATCAATACTTTTAACCACTATTTATTGTTTTAGTTGGTTGCCTCAGTTTTTATGCTTTTTTACTGAAATTTTATTGCATCCTATTCCTTTTTTAGCCACTCTGGAAACAGATATTTATGCTGAAGGGAAGGGGGTTATAAATACTGTAAAAGAAATAAACATTGCAGCCTTCAGAAAAACCAAACATTGTGTAACATAATCAGTTCTTGGATTCCTTTGTATTCAAGGCTCTGCACCTACCCTCAAATAAGAATTATTTAACACATATTTTAAATGCATTTCAGGTTTGCATCCCATGTTAGTAATAATCAGAGCAGACCCACTGAAATTAATGGGCATGACTATAACTCAGGTCCCTTACTTTAAATGGGTTTACTCTGAGTAGAACTTAATTGGCTCCAACGCCAGGTCTCAGCTCCCTCCCATCACAATAGCTCTTTTTTTCCAGCTGATAGAGCCATTTTTATTCCAGCAGGATTTTGCCTTCTATAGCTGATCTGCGAAAGGCATTGTTATCAATAATCTCAGCCAATGCTGCGCTCTCTCTCACTCTGTGTGTGTGTGTGTGTGTGTGTGTGTGTGTTGCTCAGAGTGCCTTTTTCTACCCTGGTTGGTTCACCAGCTACAACCCCTTTTTAACACAGATGACTTGGCCACAGTGTTCCAGGTTCTGGTTCACTGCAACGCACTCTCTCTGGGGCTGCTCTTGGAAGACAACTCAGAAACTTCAGTTGGTCCAAATCGCAGCAGCCAGACTCATGTAACCACGCAGCAGCCAGACTCATGTAACTCTTGTAGCTCATGTAATCCATTTAGAGCTCATGTAACCCCTGTATTGAAACAGCTGCATTGGTTGCCAGTTCGGTTCCGGGCTCAATTCAAAGTGTTCACACTGGTGTTTAAAGCCCTATGACTCAGGGACCTAAATATCTGAAAGACCCGCTTCCTTCCCTACAGACCTTCCTGGGTGCTGAGATAAGCAGAGGGGGCCCTCTTAGTAGTTCCTCCACCCTCAGAGGCTGAGGGCCTTCTCTGTGGTGGCCCCTAAGCTGCGGAACACCTGCAAGAACAAGATCATGCATCTGGCACCCTCATTGTACAGCTTTTGGAGAATGCCAAAGAGGAACTTCTTTAGCCTAGCTTTTAATACTTGAGGTGTGTTTTCAGGGCCCACCTCGCTTTTATGGTTGAAAGTTGTTTTTAAATGTTGCAGCCTGCCCTGAGACATTAGGGTGAAGAGCAAGAAATAAATTTATTATTATTAAATTATGTATTACAGTATTATCATTATTATTAAATGCATTTTATTATTCAATGCATTTTTCCTGTGCATATTTTACATATTTTTATTATGTATAAATACATATTTTTATTATGAGGTTGTTGCCTGTATTAATATAATTTTACTTCAGTGTGATTATTTTAATTGCTGTAAGCCACCTTGAATAATGCATGGGCACTAGAATGGAGAAGGGGTTTTATATAAGAAATAAAATATTCATTCATTTGTTTCATAATATATTTACAGATATATACACACCACTTGCTTGTAGGGAGAGTGAAACCTCAAAGCAGTTTACAATAAAATAAAATAATCACTTAAAATGTTAAATTTAAAACGCTGATACTCGTCGTCCCAACCTTTCTCCCTCACAACCCATTTCAAAGCTAACTGAACTGCCAACCGACCAAACTCCACTCGAGGAACCTCATTGGGCGCTTTATTCACTATGACCAACCCTATTGGCCGGGAGAGCTCTGAACCCGCCTCTCCCAGTTTAATGGAATCCCATCCTCTGAAGCGCGGCTCTGTTTATGGTTCCTCTCCCCCCCCCCTCTCCTTTCCTATTGGTTCTCAAAGGCTTCCCTAAGCGCCCGCCCCTAGAAAGGGAGGAGCGTCTCTCATTCCCCACTCCTCCCGCTCCTCGTGCCGCTCTCCTCATTGGCCGCCAACTCGGCGAGGGGGGGGAAAGCCCGCCTCTTCTTGCCTTCCGCGCCGATGGAAGGCGCTTCATAGGCTGGGGCGGCGGCGGAACTCTGGGCCGCGCTCTCATTGGCCGCGGGCCGCCCAGCCGGTGGGAAGGGATTGGCGAGGCCGAGCGTTCCATAAGAAAAAAGCGAGGGGACAGAGGGGCGGGGGAGCGCAGATGCGGCTGCGAGCGCCGGCGGCCGGTGTCGCGCGGCAGGCAAGTTTGCAGAACCGGAAGCGGGAGGGAGGAGAGAGGGCGGGAAGGAAGGAGGGCGAAGGGCCGCCTCCCCGCTCCGCCCGCGCGCTCCTCGACCCTCCCTCCCACGAGGGCGCCCGCCTGGAGGAGCTGCCGCAGCGGCATCGATCCAGCTCCGCCCAGGCAGGGCGAGACTTGGCCGGCTTCTCGGGGTTCCTTCCTTTGAGGAGGGAGGTGGGGCAGGCTAAGAATAAGTGGGGGGGGTACTTTTATTTTTGTAATAAGGGTTGGGGGCGTGCAAGTGAGAGGGAAGCTGCTGCTGCTGCTGCTGTTGCAGTGACTTGCGAGGGGACGAGCATTGATTTGCAAGAGCGGGGCTTGGTGTTGCAGGTGGACGGGTGTCCGGGGGGGGGGCTGTGCGTGCAGACGGACTGGGGGGGGGAGAGATAAGGCGAAGAAGCACTATAGGGGAGCCTGGGTGGGGGTCGACGTCAGGTTTGGGGGCTGATCCCGTCCAAAGTGATTGCCTCGTTTGTTTGTTTGATTGGAGCTGTTCTCCAGCGTGGTTCTGAACGGGGTAGGGGAGGCAGCCAGTATTGGGATCACAGAAGCCCCATCTAATTGTACAACTGCATGGGGCCACTAGGGTCATCCAGTCCAACCCCCTGCGCGGCCGGAATCTGGAGCCCAATGTGGGGCTCGAACCCACAGCCTTGAGACTAAGAATCTCATGCTTTACTGACAGAGCTATTTGTGGGGGACTAAGGGGAAGGTGACTGTAATCCACGGGGAAGGTGATGGGCTCTTTCTGTAGAAAGGAGGTGTTGGAGTTTGATATCAGCATGGCCAGTGTTCTAGGTTAGAGGAAGAGGGTAGATCCAGGGTTGGGGAGGGGGTATCTGCTGGAAGAAGTTCTTGTTTGTGGGAAGAAGGTAGCAATTGGTGCGGTTTGGGCAGAAGTTGATGTGGGGGGTCAGTGTTGTTCTGGGATGGGGATGGGGAACCTGTGGCAGTGCTAGATGTTGTGGGACCATCGGTCCTGCTGGCTGAGGCTCATGGGAGTTGGATTCCAGCGGCATTTGGAAGGCTACCAATTCCCTTTCCCTGCTCTTTTGGAAAGTATTTAAGATGACATGGATTTTGGATGTGAGAAGTACCAACTCTAAACACTTCCTCCCTGTTAACGTTGTAGGCTTCACGATTGTACCACACCATGCAAGTGGCTGAGGATGCCTGCACCAATTTTGAGGATGAGCTGCTCTGTAAGTAAAAGTAAAACCTTCATTTCTGCCCCATCCCAAACATATACGATCCCTTTCCCTTTTGTAAAGGAGCTCCTAGGCCACTTAGTCACAAATAAGAAATTATTATTGTAAGTGCCTGTGTTAAGCCATTTGTCGTCTTACCCCAGGAGGGAGAGGAAGAACCACCAAATTGTTTGAAGCTTCCCTGACTGGCCACCTTCAGATATTTTTTACTCGCCACAGGTGATCAGTTGAGTGGCACTTTCGCAGTCTGCCTTTGCTTCATTTCTAACCTATGATATAATATATTTTTGTTTGCCAAATGCTCAAAGAGATTGCACTGGCATGCACTCTTTTTAAACTAACCTAGCTGTCTACTGAAGGATGGTGCTTTAGTGACAGCAAGTGACACAAGCAGTGCAGGCTCGGAATCCCCATTGATCTGCCTGTGTCAGTGGTTGACAAATTTTGACGGTCCCTTAGAACCAAACCAAATTTCTCATCTCTCCTGCTCTAAACCCCTGCAGAAAGCCTAGCACAACTCTAGACAGGCAGTTTCCCCCAACTGCTGTTTAAAAACAATTGAGAGTTTTTCAGTCATCTTTGCCATCTCGGCATAATCCATCAACTTGATTTGCCATTCTTCTCTGGTAAGGACTTCCAACTCTGGGCCAATAACATGCGCACAGCTGTTGTTCTATACATAAAAAGTTTTTTCTGCTCCTTCGGAATGTAATTCCTAATAAAAATGCTTCTGTTTTTTTTTAACAAAAGTTATTTTAAATATTTTTTTCATTTCATTATATATCATCTCCCAAAAAGCTTTTCTTACCTTACAAGTCTACTACACATGATAAAAGGTACCTTCTTTTTCTTTACATTTACAGCAGATATTTGAACTTGTCTTGTACAGTTTTGCTAACTTTGTAGGAGTCAAATACCACCGGTACATCATTTTCATATAATTTTCTTTCAATGTGGAACACGCCATAAATTTCAAATCTGATTTCCATAACCTTTCCTGGAAAACTCAGAAACAAAGAGGATGAAAACTTTATAAAATAATGGGGAAAATTTATAAGTTATCTAGGAGACCACTGTAAGCAGATGGAAACAAGAGCAGGATTCTGACTCACTTGTAGCGTAAAGAACATTATATGCTCTGATATAAAAATTGGAGTATGCAGTTGTAGACGTTTAAGATAAAACTCCATGGACGGTATGGGGGGAAGTTGTGAGATTCGGAGAATCTCTACATACAGTATGATTTTATTGATGTGTGTTTATTTGTAAAATTAATAAAATGTGTTCGGAAAAATAAAAGAATTGTGAGTAGCAGAACCTGATGACATACCGAAAGTCAGCCTGCGATCTGTTGGTGAAACCAGATCTGCTTCCATTTCTCTTTCCTCCCACAGTCTGTGAAGACTGCCGCCTTTACTTCCGGGACTCCTGCCCGCAGCACGGACCCCCTACCTTTGTGGCTGACAGACCCGTTCCAGAAAGAGCTCAGTCACGGGCCCTGCTCTCCTTGCCGGAGGGACTTCTAGTCAAGGAGCGTTCCCAGGGGGGCCTCGGAGTCTGGAGCGCCCTCCCAGCCCTGCCTCGTGGCTGCATCTTTGGCCCCTACGAAGGGGAAGTGGTACGGGAACATGGCGACTGCACCCGGTATTCCTGGGCGGTAAGACACACGATTCTCCCATCGTTTCCCCCCACAGCTTAAAACGTGTAGCCTGGCCTCCCAACTCCGCCAGGCACAATAACACACCAGGCGGATCTCTCTTAGGGCAAAGCACACTCGTCTCCTCCATGCTGCCTTGTTTGCTAACAGAATTTCATTTACGTACCATAGAATTATTCTTTGAGGTTAAACACAGTAAGGAAATATGAAAGCTTTCTATGCATTAACAACGCAGCACTTCAGATTGGATCCAAACTAAGTTAGCTATGCTTTAGTTCAGGGATAGGGGACCTTTCTTCAAGCAGAGGGCCACTCCCCCCCCTTTCCCTCTCTTGTCTTCCTAATTGTTTAAACCAATTCATGAACCAGTAACTTATAAATTGGCCACCAATAATGAACCATATGTTGTCGATATTACTCCGCATTTATTATGCTATTTTTTGACACACAAATGACATGAGAAAACGTGGTACAGTGGTACCTCATGTTACAGTCGCTTTAGGTTAAAGACTCCACTAATCCAGAAATAGTACCTCAGGTTAAGAACTTTGATTCAGGATGAGAACAGAAATTGGGCTCCGGCAGCGCGGCGGCAGCGGGAGGCCCCATTAGCTAAAGTGGTGCTTCAGGTTAAGAACAGTTTCGGGTTAAGAACGGACCTCCAGAACGAATTAAGTTCTTAACCCGAGGTACCACTGCATACTTATTTGTATAACATTATTCTTGTTTATAAAACCCAATACAGTGGTGCCTCGCAAGACGAAAAGAATCCGTTCCGCGATTCTCTTCGTCTAGCGGTTTTTTTGTCTTGCGAAGCAACCCCATTAGCGGCTAAGCGGATTAGCGCTATTAGCGGCTTAGCAGCTATTAAAGGCTTAGCGGCTAAGCTGTTAAAAGGCTATTAACGGCTTAGCGGCTTTGAAAAAGGGGGGGGAGCGGGGGGGAAATGGCGAGACTCGCAAGACGTTTTCGTCTTGCGAAGCAAGCCCATAGGGAAATTCGTCTTGCGAAGCGCCTCCGAAACGGAAAACCCTTTCGTCCAGCAGGTTTTTCGTCTTGCGAGGCATTCGTCTTGCGGGGCACCACTGTAATAAGATTAGCAGAGGAATTCTCCCCAAAATATAAACACTGGATATGTAAATAGGCATCAATATTTGTATAAAGTTGTTGTGATAGGTATATTTAAAATAAAAACACACAATTTAAAAGTAAAGCAGAGGGCCACATTTCCTTCCTGAGCAGCCTCCCAAGGGCCGCATTCTAGTGGTGGGTGGGGGCAGAGGCAGAAAGTAGGCAGAGAAAGAGATGTGACCATTTGTACAACAAGCTACGTTCAAGCCGTGCACAGTTCAGAGAATTCCATGTTCACATAACTCCATCTGGGCAAAAGGCATCTTCAGAGACTCATTCCATCCCGACAAAAGCCCTTGGGGATCAGGGTGGAACAGGGCCAGTAAGGGAGAGATGTGGCCTGGCAGGCAGGCTGAGGCTAGAGGGCCACATTGGGACCCTCAGACCTGAGGTTCCCCATCCCTGCTTGGGTCTCAAATCAGTCACTAACTCGTCCTGCCGATTTCCATGGGACCAGAGCATGCCTAGCTTAATCTAGATCCAACCCAACTAGGGGAAACTGGCGAAGAGGGTTGCCTGCTTCAGCTGAGTAATAGGAAAACCTCCCTACCAGAAACTTCTTCCCAGTTCTTCTTCAAAGTCAATCCTATGCAAATCGGCATCACTGATGTGTACAGTGGTACCTCAGGTTACATATGCTTCAGGTTACAGACTACGCTAACCCAGAAATAGTACCTCGGGTTAAGAACTTTGCTTCAGGATGTGAACAGAAATCGTGCGGCGGTGGCGGGAGGCCCATTAGCTAAAGTGGTGTTTCAGGTTAAGAACAGTTTCAGGTTAAGAACGGACCTCCGGAACGAATTAAGTACGTAACCAGAGGTACCACTGTATTTGCAGTGTGAGAGCGTCTTTTTTCTTCCATTTTGCAAATCTGGGATATTTTTGGCAAGGTTTGTTTTGCAACAAAGGGTAACAGTGCACTAACTGGAACAGGATAAGATCCAGAAAGGGGGGGGGGGAATCAAGCTGTGGTGCCAGAAAATAAAAACCTTATCTTCAGCCAAGTAAGAAATGCAGGATGGCTTGTGTAGTCATACAGGCACTGCCAGGTTTTATTTCTTTGAAAAGTTTCTATCCCTTGTGGCATCACAAGCAAGCTTGCAAACATAACAGTGATGTGTCGCAGCTACATTTGTTATTAAATAACCCTTAACGTTGCGGTATGTGGTGGATTACATAAACATAGGTAAAGGTAAAGGTACCCCTGCCCGTACGGGCCAGTCTTGCCAGACTCTAGGGTTGTGCACTCATCTCACTCTATAGGCCGGGAGCCAGCGCTGTCCGCAGACACTTCCGGGTCACGTGGCCAGCGTGACAAGCTGCATCTGGCGAGCCAGCGCAGCACACGGAACGCCGTTTACCTTCCCGCTGGTAAGCGGTCCCTATTTATCTACTTGCACCCGGGGGTGCTTTCGAACTGCTAGGTTGGCAGGCGAAAATATAGGGTATGGGCATTTTGTTATGTTTTGTTTCAAAATGCCCGGCTGCTGTGGGAAGATATATACAGTGGTACCTCAGGTTAAGTACTTAATTCGTTCTGGAGGTCCGTACTTAACCTGAAACTGTTCTTAACCTGAACACCACTTTAGCTAATGGGGCCTCCTGCTGCCGCCGCGCCGCCAGAGCACGATTTCTGTTCTCATCCTGAAGCAAAGTTCTTAACATGAAGCACTATTTCTGGGTTAGCGGAGTCTGTAACCTGAAGTGTATGTAACCTGAAGCGTATATACATACATACCACTGTATGTGTGTTTCATTGTGTCAAAGGCCCAATTCAGAACAGAAAAGGGGAGAGTGCACCAATCCAAAAATAAAGGAAACTTTAAGGTGTGCAAAAATATTGTTTCCTTTTCACAATGCCTTTGAGGAAAATTTTACTCTGGTCCACCATAAAACATAGCACTGTTCTCTCTTTATTTCCCCCCTGAGACAGCTCCCCCCAACCCCTGAAATGCAGTGGGCCAAATAAGAGTATTTGTGTCCCTGGAAGTTATTTGGCTGTTTGTTCTAAAGCCCACTTCATGCGTTTCAAGAGTGGAATACATCTTTGCAAAGATGTTCACACAAAACACTAGCCTCATATGGGCATGTGTTTGCCTTTTTCACATGGGTTTAGCATCCGCATTCTTTTGCAAACAATAAGCGGTTAAGAGGACCCGTGTTTTTCAGCTTTTAGAGGGAGCGCTGACAAAGAAATTCCTTACAATTCCAGTGTAAATAATTGTGTTGCAGTGTGCGTTAGCCAGCTTCCGCGTCCGAGCAAATTAAATGCAGAAATGTTTATTTCAGGCCCTGTCTGCACTGTGCGTTTAAAGCAGTATCATACTGCTTTTAACAGTTGTGACTTCCCACAGAGAACCCTGCCGTTTGTTAAGAGTGCTGAGGAAAGTTGTTAGGAAATCCCTATTCCCCTTACCGAGCTACAATTCCCAGAGTGGTTTAACAACCAGTCCCCCTTTTCAGGGAACTTTGGGAGCTGTAGTTTTGTGAGGGGAAGAGGGCACCCTTAACAAACTACCATTCCCAGGATTCTTTGGGAGAAGCCATGGTTGTTTGAAGTGGTATAACACTGCTTTGAATTTAAAGTGCAGAGATGGGGCCATGCATTCTTTAACGTGTCTAATAATGTGTGCACCTCTTTATTCCATTTTTGAGATTTGGGGGTATTGGAGAAATTGGGGTTTCTATAAATATGTGAGGAGGGTAAGAAAGAAAGGAGGGGTGTTTGTGTTAAAGCCCTAAACGGCCTCAATCCTGTATACCTTAAGGAGCATCTCCCCCGCCCCCCGATCATCCAGCCCAGAGACTGAGGTCCAGTATTGAGGGCCTTCTGGCGGTTCCCTTGCTGCAAGACGCGAGGTTACAGGGAACCAGGCAGAGGGCCTTCTTGGTAGTGGTGCCCACCCTGTGGAATGCCCTCCCAGCAGATGTCAAGGCAATAAACAACTATTTTACTTTTAAAAGACAACTGAAGGCAGCCCTGTTTAGGGAAGTTTTTAATATCTGACACTGTATTTTTTAAATATTTGGTTGGAAGCTGCCCATAGTGGCTGGGGAAACCCAGCCAGATAGGCGGGGTATAAATAAAAAATTATTATTATTATTATTATTATTATTATTATTATTATTATTATTATTATTATTACCAAGCATCCTTTGGCATTTGCTGAGGGCTGATGGGTGCTCAGGCCTGTTCCAGTTAGGCCCGATCACATTTCCCCCCGGCTTGATTATTCCTTGCAGTGTGTGGCTTCCAGCCACCCACCATTTTACCTTTCGCAACACTACTGTGTAGCGGCATTTAGGAAACTGAAAATGGCAGATGGCTTTGTTGCTGCTGGCTGCCACTACCACCAGTAAGCAGGCAGTACGGAGTGGGGTGGGGGCATTAGGATTTGCGGGAGGGTCCTTCGTGTCAAGGCGCACTAAATGGCACTTTGCCAAGGATCGCTCAACCCGACTACTGGCCCTGGCAGGAGGCCATGAAAATACTGTGATGGGTAAAGGACAAAAGGAAGCTATCATGCTCCTGGCTTACCTGGGCCTAGCCAGGATTTATGTTAAGAGAGCAGGCTTTAGGTTGGCAGGGGCAGAGACAGAACTGAGATATCTGCAACCCACTTGGTTAGTTAAGCATTTTTATTTACTTACTTGATTTGGGGGGAGGCAACTTCCCCCCTGCCCCGCCCATGCAGTGGCTTATTTCTGGGTTTTTTCTCCACATATCTGATAATGACAGTCACCTTTTTTAATTTTATCCCACAACCATGAGGACTACAGACTTGCTTAAAAAGTAAAGCTGAGCTTCTCAGAAAGTTTTGCTTTTCACACCATGTCATGTCTTAGCCATGCAATACCATAGGTGACTA